AAGGAAGAAATTGTTTGGTTTATTCATAGAAAATCAGGTTTAGAACTTGGTTCAAAAAAGGAGGATAGATTAGAAAGAGAAAATTGTCAAGATAATATAGTTAAAAATTCGTTTGTTTCGAAACCGTCTTGTGATGGTTTCTCAGGCTAGCTTGGTATAGCCCTCCAGCACAGGCAATAGCCTTAACCGATAAGGCAAACCGCACTTGGGCACCCCTAGGGGCAGCTGAGTGATATCAGATCTGTAGCTTAGATAGTTAATTATATGTACACATATATGCTTTGATCTAACAAAGATACTGGCAAGGCTGCCAAAAAAAAAAAAAAAAAAAAAAATCAACATCAAATTCATTTATTCGATATTATGAAGTATTATTTGCACTATTGCCATAGTTTGGTATCCGATCACATTATTTAAAAAAATTAACCATATAATTTTATAAATAGGATTTACAAATTTCTAGCAGCTTTGAAAGTGAATATAACAGCAATAATTGCTTAAACGATTGCGTATCTATGGATAATTTAGACGATAATGACATATTTGAAGATGGTTTAGAAAATGAAGATAGCTATGAGCTTGAAAATGGTTTGGAAAATGAGGTATGTATAATAATTATTTAATTTAATATTAATATGTATAATTTTATATAGTAACTAATTCTAATTATGGTTATTTTAATTATGTAGCATCAACTAATATTTGCCCAATTTGGTTGTGATTTAACCATCGATCAAATTGAATATTATCTTGAGTTTCAAGAATATCCTAAAACTTCCTTAACTGGTGTTGCTAGTATTTATAATGTTTCTGGTTGGGAATCGGATGATGCTACAAAAGCTTTTAGAATTTCTAATATTCAATATGCTTATAGCGATCCTGGAAATATTCGATCAATTCAAAAATATCTATTTTTGGGTGTATTTGTTCAAAAAACTTATCGCTCGTACCTTAGTATAAAAGTATACGAATTTAGCTCAACAACTCTTGACATTGAACATATGTCAGTTGATTTTGAAGATCAACTTTATAAAAAAATCTTTGATGTGAATGAATTTTTAGTTGATACGTTTACTCTTAAGTAAGTAACAATATTAAATAATAATTGTTTTTTTACTTTTTATTTAATTAAAAATTTTATTAAAATTTAGTATATACGGTCAAGCTTATAATATGCCATGTTCTTATATTGATCCAATTACTAATATTTGTTGTGATAGTAATCCTATACATAGAGAATATAAACAGGTACATATATAAATTACAACTGATTCTTGTTATAGCAAACCCTTGATATAGTAGTAATTCGATATAGTAAAGAATTTTGAATTATAGATTAACTCAATATAGTGAAGTGCATATAGTGGTCTCTCGATATAAGCTATAGTAAAGTTTTTTTTCAGTCTGGCAACTTCACTATAATGAGAGTGAGTTGCATGTTTAATTTAAGAATGCTTAATTAGCAATATTACCCAAACTATTTGGAACGTCCCAAATTGTGTGATGAATAATATCATGTGAGGTATTTACTTTATTGTTATTGCTGAAATCGTGTGATACTATTCATCATATAGTTTGAGACATTCCAAATAGCTTATATTTTTGTTATTTAGAAATGCTAATAGCTCAATAATTTAAGTTAATAAAAATAGCAATGATATGATCAACTTGAGTTGATGCAAATCGAGTTATTAATTTAATAATTATAATTATTTATTTTAATTATAAATTTAGATTGGCAATACATCAACTATTCGAAAGTTTATTGGATGCCAAAAATACTAATTTGGTCAAAAAGGACACTGTTATATTTCGATTAGTCAACGTGCCAATATAGAATATCTTGAACAATTATTTCAAACTCACATATATTGTTCAAATGAAATTAGAAAAAGGTGTATATTTTTCTTAAATGCAAATGTTTTTTAATATGTATAAAGATCTAATATTCATTTAATTGTAGGATTCTAAAGCTCAACCTATTAATGAATGTTTCACAATTTTTCCAAATTCTTCTACAAGAATTTATTGTCGTGAGTAAAATAGATTAGCTGTACAACAAAATTCAGCAGATCGACCGAAATCCAGAGTCAAGATAGATCAAAATTAATAGATCTCTTTCCAAATAATCCAAAATTTTATTAATAAAATTGTAGCTCATGTACTATATAAAGCTGCGCAAATTATTTTTTTATAATATAGTTACTGGTATTATTGCTTAATGCTGACCTAGCTCTGGGCCTATTCCGATACTAAATTTTAGTTGATCTGAATTTTGGTTTCTTTACTAATCTATCCTTGTAAATATAATTATTTAAATTAAATTATAAATTTACTTTTTATTATATAATAGCACATATTCATAAAACAGATTTTCAAGTTAAAAGAGAAAAATTGGTCAATAAAGGATCTTGTCCTATGAAATTTTATCATATATTGCCTAAAGATTTAACTTAATACCCATTTATTGTAATAATCTCTATTGGCATTCATAATCATCTGCCTCCACCACCAACTAAAACTCCATATAATATACTCGAAAATTTGAAAAAAATTATTGAGAACGAACATGATTTGAGTCTTACTACACAACAGCTTCTTACAAGTAAGTATTTATAATATTATTTTCAACATTATTTTATATTAATAGAATTTTTTTTTAAATAGAACCAATATTAAAAATATATCTTCAAGGATGACCATTAAGTAGTCTTCATCCGTCATTAAATAATCAATCTCGTCTTACTTATTTAATTAAAAAAAATAGATGATCAAAGTATCCATTCGGACAAGATATAATTGGTAAAGTATATTTTTAAATTTAATAAATCATCAGGACAAAATGTTCAATTTTTCTCTTAACTTCAAGATTTATCTTTGAGCATGATATCAGACTTCATTGATGATGATGCTATTGAATTATTAAAAATTTTAGCAAATAGATCTACAAAGATTAGTGCTTTGAAATTTGGTGAATTTTATACTTGTTATACTCATTATAATCCACAATTATTGTAACTCACAAGAGCAACTTAGGCAATTCACTTTAGTAGTGATGAATTTCTTAAAAAATTCTACAACAAAAACAATCATTTAATAGAATATTGTAGCGTTAAGTTCAAGATGTAAAATTTAGAACTTTTCGTATCATAAATTGAAAATATGCAGAACTGTTAACATCATCAGATTATAAAATTAACACTTTAGTTGGTCTAATTGATGCTTCGAAAATTGTATTAATTTTAGAAAAATCAAGCATATTGCTACAATGACTAAAACTTAAATCAGAAGAATAAATGATTTTAGAACAATCGTTATTACTAGAAATACTTAAGTTCAATTAATTATAACTTACAGTACCTTGTTATTATATTTTTTTGGTACTGCTTACTTCATTAACAATTGTTTATCAAAAGTTTACTTAGCTAACATATTACTTGTATGATGTTGGTTAAGTAAGCTATTGGTAAAATGATTGTTGATAAAGTAGGCAAATTCAAATTTTTAGGAGTTGCACATGAACTATTGAAACAAAAAAATCACTGGATCTATATATTTGTTTAGTTAGTAAGTAATTAAGTTAAATTATTACAGTATTAAATTATTT